TGGTTCTTGAAGCAAACTTGTAGAGGGTATCCTGAATGATATGCAGAAAAAATAATTACAAAAGAATGTTGATAATTGAGAGAGTTATAATATTTGAAAGTTGAGAAATCACTTAAAATTAGGTCAAATTTCACTAAGTCCACAAAATGACCTATAATGTTTCCATACCTTTGATGATCTTCCAAACATAATTAGCTATTGACTTGTAAAGAGAAGTTGTAGATGATGTAAAGGAGATTCATATGACCAAAGTATCACTAAAAATGTTGAAAAATAACTGAGTTATGATATTTTGAACTTGGACTTGAAATGTTGACTTTTTGGTCAAACCATCTTGATCAAGCTTGAATCTTTTGAGATTTTCTTGCAATTCAAGATACATTGATGATTATATGAAATAAAAATTATGTTCCCTTGAATTTCCTTTGATTAATCTTGGAAAAGGATTGAGGTAACTTATTGAAGAAGACAATGAAATAAACACATGAATCTTTGAAGTTTCTTGAGAAACAAGCTATCAATCCTTGAGGTACTCTTGATCATTATGAGATTGAATGATGCTTGAGAATTTATGCTTTGAGATTAGTAGTCATTATTTGATGATCAAGCCCTTTAGAACCAATGATTGACCAAAATTTAACTTTGAGGAAGCAAACCCTTGTTGAGGGAATCATGCTTGATGTTCTTGATTCAAGACTACCTTGCACAATAAAGAAGAGGAAACAAGGATTTTTTTTTGGTATTTTGATTAGTGATTAGTATAACATAAATTATATAAACACAAAAGAGAAAGATACACAAGGGGCTGCTTGATGATCTCCACAAAGGAAAGACTTAGAGAAATAAGGGTTAAGAAGCAACCAAGTTTCTGATCTTGATGATATGCAATAATACAACATGATATTAGATCTTAGGGATAAAAGTTAGGGTATACCACCTTTTCTTTGGTAGGTTTATGCACCACTACTCTATTGTTGATGTTAATCTACATCTTCCTCAAGGCATGCTTCCCTATCTTTGTTAAGTTTCCAACTGTCTCCTCCTCTTTAAGGTTGACACCAATTTACTTCAAGATTTTCGTTATCGGGTCATTATATGGTAACCACATATTCGCCTTTATCTAGATTTCTATCATGTGATTAATCACCCCATGAATGAGAAAAAAATTGTTGGAGAAGTAGGCAAGAACAAAAGAACTCTTAAAAGTTATGATTCTTTTTGGCACCATAAGTGATGATGATAAAAGTACTAGAGTATCACTCGCAAAATCACAAGAACACAAGAAAATTAGAAAAATAGAAATCAAATAAGAAGAAAAGAAGATTTGAGATGGGATGAGATAAAAGATAAACCAATTTACTTATTTATAGACTGGTTCTAATCGATTAATTGGATCCTAATTGATTATAATATTTATGTCAATTTATTTTGATTGATTGATTGAGGTGATGATAACTCTAGGGTATTTTAATCTATTATCCCGTTAGAGTTAATTAATTAGATAACTCAAAATTTGAATTTCAAAAATGCCGAATCGATTAACCTATCAGGTTTAATGGATTTGATGGTGCTTTTTTAGCTTCCTTTGTCTATTTAGGCCTTGGATGACTTTAGGCTCTGAATTACTTTATGCACCCCCTTTCTTTTGGATTTTTCTCCCCTTTGTTCAAAACACTTTACTTCTCAAAGCATAAGATTAGTACAAAATAAAATTAAATCAACTAAGAATTTCAATAAGTTTTTGTTAGAGGACTAATTAGAGTTTTCCGATTTTATTCTCTATCAAGTGTTTTACCTCGAAATCCTTTTAAGATTCTCCCACCTAGTTTTAGAGTTAGGTCTTTGGATTTGGTTGTCTCCCACCTTCAGTATGTAGATGATACTCTTATTATGGTTGAAGAGTCTATAAAGAATCTTTTGTTTATAAAATATACTCTTAGGGGCTTTGAGTTAGCTTCGGCATTCTGAGTTAATTTTGCTAAGAGTTGTCTTATAGGAGTCAAAGTGGACCCTGAATTCATGAAGTTAGTGGGGATATTTTCTCCATTGTATACTAGGTAATCTCCCCTTTACTTTCCCTGAACTTCCAGTGGGATCTAATCCCCATGTTGAGGCTAGTAGAGACCCTTTTAAAACCTTATTTCCAAGAGATTGATTACCTGACTTCATATGTATATTAGTTTGAGAGGAGAGTTATCCTACTAACCTCTATTCTTAATAGAGTTATTCATACGTACTTTACCTTTATTTTCGGAAGATGCTAGTGAAGGTGTGGAAGAAAATAGTGACAATCCAAATAAGGTTCCTTTGGGTGTGTGAAAGGTTATGCCAAGATTCCATGTGTCTGTTTATCTGACATTTGTAAGCTTAAGATATTTTGGGGGTTGGGGTTTAAGGATATCTTCCTGATTAAATTTTCTTTGCTTAGTAGTGATGTTGGATATTGTCATCTCAAGCTACTAGTCAATGGAGGGATATCATTTTTTCTAGATAAGGTGATGGTGTGATTTTTTCCTTAAGTGGTGGTAGGACGTCTAGCCTCCGATCAACTTCATCTTGGTGGAAAGGTCTCTTGCTAATTAGTTCCAAAGTAGGAGTTTCTTCTAATTGGATTTTAGAGGGGGATCAATAAGAGAATAATGGATGGTCTGAATACGTCTTTGTAGGATGATCCATGGGATGGACCGGTTCCCCTAAAAGAGAGGTTTCATAGGTTTTAACTTATTTATCATAATTTTGGTAGAATAGTGGGAGAGAGGGTCAAAACTGAGGGGGGTCTTTTGAGGTGGTATTTCCATTGGAGACAGCCTTTCTTTATTTGAAACCTTTCCTTAGTGTATAAAATTTTTTCTTCTGATGTAAGGAACCTCTTTAACTAATATCCTTTATGCTAGATACAATGATTATCCTTTTTGCCAGATATGGTGATTTTGTAATTTCTTCCTTGAGGGATGATATGACGTCTAGCCTTCGACCAACTCCATCTTGGTGGAAAAAGGGTCTTGTTAATTGGTTCCAAAGTAGGAGTTTCTTCAGATTGGTTTATAGATGGGATGAATCCGAAAATAAGGGATGGTTTGAACACCTATTTTTGGGAGGATCCTAGGGTGGGATAGGCCCCCTAAAAGAGAGGTTTCATAGGTTGTACCTTATTGATCATAATCTTGATAGAACAATGGGAGTGGTTATGGAAATTGAATGGGGTCATTTGATGTGAAATTTCTTTATTCAGGACATTGCCTTTGTGGATAGTTTTTTCTTGTGCAACAAGGGGTTACTCTTTTGTCGAGTAGTGATTGTTGGTGGTGGAAGACAATGAAGGATGTGATCTACTCGGTTGCTTTAACTTATACGTTTTTCATCCAGGATAAGCTTAGCCCCCCTCCCATTTTCCTTTAATTAGGAGAGATTGGGTTTTGACTATCATTTGGCGTAGTATGGTTCCTTCTAAAATAGTTGTCTTCTCTTTGTAACTTCTTTTGGATAAGTTCTCGTTGAAATTCAATTTGGCCAACGTGGGATGGTCTAAGAAAATGTTGAGGAGTCGTGTAGTTTATATGGGAGAGCTTTTGACTCTTTGGTTTATGAGGAATATTTTGTCTCTTTTTAAGTCTTTTGGTAACTTTGAGGTGGCAGCAAAACTAAGAAGAGGCCATTTGATGGTTTGACACACTGTGGTTTGTGTTATCTGAAAATCTCTGGATGATTTGATTTTTTAGGTAAAATTGTAAACATGGAGGACTTGGAGGCTACAAGTATCGCTTTGATATGTAAATGGTACTTATGAAAGTTTTTGAAGTACCATTTTTCTTTCACCGTTTGGTTGGAGAACTGTATCCTCATTATAGGCTAATAGTGATACTGAGTCGTTGTACCTAATTGGGGATGGAGTGTCTTTCCTTATTTGTGGAGATTTCTGATTTATTCTTTTCCTCTTTGTTGTTGGGTTCTAATTGTATTGATTGTGAGTAGTCTTCTTTGTTTATGTTTATTGTAGTGTTTTGCAGATATCTAATGGTGCTGGTTGTGAGTATACTTCTTTGTTGTGTTTTGCAGGCGATTGATGTTGTTAGTCTTTCCTCTTTTGTTCGGTGTGATTTTGTCCCACCTTATCAATTACCTCTTATGTCAGATACACGTGTGGTTATAGATCTCTTATTTCTTATGTATACATCTTCTTTATTCTAATAATTTGCTTGACATTAAAAAATATTATTTTGTGTGACCAAATACTAAATTGCAACTGATAATATAATTTTCTTATTATGCATTTTATGATGCTTACCAAACTTAACATTCATTTAAAAGAAAAATTTTGAGATAGTAAAACACACGTGGAGAGGTATTTGTTGCATTGGCTATTTTGGTTCTTCCATTTATAGTGGTCAATATTGACCGTAATGTTATTCGATCAACATTTCATTTTCTTGTTTTTTTAATATTATTTTTTTTAGCACACAACATGTAAAATTTGTTAGGAAGAATTTGTTTTCTATTATAGTTTTATAAGGCTCGAAAAATTAATCTCTACAATTACATATAAAAATATTTAATTTATAAAAAAATGATTTATTTTCTTAATTCTAAAAAGACTATGATAATTCAACATTCAGTTGGGAAGTATTTAAAATCTAACTAAAATTATTGTTATTAAACTCAAATTTAAATTCCTTCAAATAATATGTCATTAACTAAAACTCATTAACATATTTATGAAATATCATGATTCACTGTATTATGACTGTTCCTTAAATATGAGTCCAAAAATTGAGAATTTAGTCACGGGTTATAAACATGAATCTTTCTACATTTATTATTAAATATAATAAATTTTAATTAAGAAAATTTTAAAAGAAGAAAATAATTAGAGTCAAAATTTTGTTTGACTGAATAATTAATTAAAAAGAAATTATAAAACCAAGATGAGATGGTGAGAAGGCTAAAGCAATGTTCATACATATTTTCAAAAAATTGTCACATTTTTCTTTTATTGAGAGTCTATGAATATCATAACGAGGATCAGAACCAATTTTTCTATTCCACTTTTGTTCACATATTTTCTTTCTCTAATAAATTCAACTTCAAGTGCTCAAACACATGATGATATTGTTTCTGCTCATTCGATCGATGCTCGTCTTCAAGATTGCGCCTTTAAGGCGTTTATCGAACCTAAATCCGATGTAATATACGATGCTGAAGTACCCTCCGATCTAACGGGGATTAAAGTTTCAGCAATTAGGGTTAGAAGTAGAACTATGTTGAACAAAGGTGTTCAAAGTTACAAAGAATTAGAGATCCCAATAGGTGTTACTTCAAAACCTTATGTTAATAAACTTGTTTTGGTTTACCATAATTTTGGTAATTGGTCTAAAAAAATTTATCCTTTATCTGGTTACTCATATTTAGCACCTGTTCTTGGTCTATTAGCCTATGATGCAACAAATTTGTTTGCTTCAAATTTACCTGAACTGGATTTAAGAGCTAATGAGAAACCAATTTTGGTTAATTTCTCCAATGTGAAAAATTCATCATTACCATTTGGTTCATTAGCCAAATGTGTGTATTTTGATTTATATGGTAATGTGAAGTTTGACACTTTGTTAAATGGAAATGTTTGTGCAATATTTCAACAAGGGCATGTTTCAATTGTTGTGGAATCTAAAGATCAAGTGCAAGATCATGGGAAGAATGAGTTGAAGATGAAGATTGTGGGGGTTATATGTTTGGTTTGTGGGATTGTTTTGTTGATGATAATGTTTGGTTTGTTCATTAGATTAAGAAGGAAAAAAAGGTTAGAGATAAAGCAAATGGAATTTGAAGAGGTTAATCATGAAACATTGAAGATGTCATCATTTGGTCATGCCAAAGTACCAATGGCATTAGGGACTCGTACTAAGCCAATGATTGATGAAATGGATGTTTTTCCTTAAATTTTAACCATTGTTGGTGCTACCATTTTTTTTGGTTATAGATGTTTTTTAGGTTATTGCCTAGTCCAATGATAAGTTCAAATGATTTTGGGAAGATTTGGTGGTTTCGATTATTTTTTCATTGTAATATCAAGTCATTGTAATAAAATCTACGAATATTTTATTACCCAAAAATAATATGGACATTATTCAATCTTATAGTAATTATGTTCGAGGCCAAAGAGTAATAATAGAGTAAAGTAAGGAAGAAATATTTAGAATAAGAATTTACTTTTCCTTACATGTATAGTCGATTCATTGGTTTACATCTAATTGGCATCATGGACTCCTATTTTAAGATGGATTACTCTCTTTAATTTCGGAAATTTTGTTCTCTATTCTTACATTTTTTTAGTCATTTCGGGTGAAAATATGTTTTTATCTTCAAAATTCAGAGATACATCTCCGATCGCACTATATTTTATTTTATTTTATTGAGATATTTTCGTAGATGTATTGTCGAAACATTTTTTTCTCAAAATCAGGAGTATTTCGTAGATGTACCGTAACAAATACAAACAACCACCTCTCATTCTCATTTCTTCCAACTTCTATCTATCAAACACCCCAAAACCCTCTAAAAATCTCTAATTTCAAAACTCATTCAAGTTTGTCTACTCATTTGCACTTGTTACAACTCACTTCAACTCTCAATTTCAACACATTTCAACAACTCTAAAAGTTCAAATTTGAGTAAGTTCTCCAATTCCTTTTAATCTTTGCATTTCTATTTTAAGTTGTTTATATTATGTATAACCTGTAAAAAGCTTGCTTTTAAGTGTAAAATTAGATTTTGGTGTAAAAATGGTGTTGTTAGGTTGAAGATTTGGTTATGGAAGTCACAGGTTTTTTCGGAGATACATCTTTGAAAACCCCTCTGAGGAGTTTCGAAGATGCATCTCTAGAAAAAGGCTTGGGTTTAATTTTTTTTTTTAATTTTCAAACATGTTCTTGTTCGTTCGCTTACCTTTGATTTGATTAACGATTATTTAGTTTTCCAAAATAATGACGGAGAACCCCAACAAATTGAGGTTTGGTAGGCCTAACCAAACTGCATCTGCTTGACGAGAGAGAACTGAGCAGACTACGAGTCGTCGAGGACATGGTCGAGTACCACCGGGAGAAGTGGAGGGAACATCGACTTCTATTCCGAGGAGTCGACTTTCACATGCGTCCTCGTCTAGGGATTACAAGGAAGAAGAACCCGAGTCAATTCAGGTTCTGGAACCCGAAATGGTTCATGGTCCAGAATCAGAGGAGGAGGCTAACACGGGTTTTTCAGGAGGCCCGTATAACACATCCCTCTTGATCTATTACACCGATCATGTCGCTCAATATGTTTCGGAGGGACATGTATATTAATTTTTGTTACACTTTTCATTTTGATGATTTACGTACTAATATATTAAAATTGATATTAATTATTTATCTTTACAGGAACGAAGACCACTAAAGTGGGTGAACCACGCGTGGAAGATATTCGAGTTGTATCACTCTGATGAAGATTGGTTTAGAGAGGCCATTTTTGCCTCCGGATTTACCGACCTTTATTGTTCCGGTTATAACACCATCAACCACGACATGCAGGGGGAATTTATGGAGAGGTGACACAAGAAGGCGTCATATTTCCACTTGCCTGTTGGGGAGATAACGATCACACTTGATGATGTCGCTTTCCTGCTACACCTCCCTATCAAAGGGAGGTTACTTAACCACTCTTGGATCGATCGTAGTGATCAGATTAAATGGATGGTCGACTATCTGGGAGCTGAATTAGAAGAGGCATCTAAGCAGTGTTCCTCCACCAATGGGGCTCATGAATCTTACATGAATCTTATTCGTTTTTCAGGGCTGCATCATTTCACACTTCCACCGCATCCATGGTTTTTATTATGCTCTGAATTATATTGAGGACATGATGATGGCTGCTTGGTATGCCCCCCAGAAAAGGACCTAGGCTGTGCTACCGTTTCAGGTGTATTTGGATAGGACTGGCCATGATGACATCATCCTATGGACGTTGTTCGAGGATCACCGGGAGATTATCCAGTTCAACTCCATCTCATTATACTCTAGGTGGATGGCATGTGAGACTAACACTATGGTCAAGTATCTACTGGAGTGATGCATGCGACAATTTGGTTATGTGCAGACCATACCCATATCTCCCTTTCAGGCTATTCCCGACACCATTGTCTGCCGGAAGCTCGATGGCATATTTCAGGACTGGGAGCATCATTTGGTGTCAGAGGAATGTCAGATTATGCATGCAACCAGAAGTTGGCACTGTGTTGAGGGATAAATGACATGGTTATACACAGTGTCACATCCTAGCATGACATTGGACGCTTATGGACATCCACCTAGGCCAGCTCATGAGGAGATCTTAGAGAATCAGTGAGTCGAGGATGACCATGCCTTTGATCTCTTGTCGATCTGTCAGCAGATACAGATGATTAGGCCGAAGGCTTTGGACATAGGTATCATTGACCAAGGCGATCTTGAGGCGATGGTCATTGTAGAACGAATGGTTGGGGAGGCAGAGAATGCAGCGAGATACAGTAGACAATGGAGGGGCCGTGGAGTGAGGATCAGACATACTCAGTAGGCTATGCTTTTGTTTTTAATTTTAGAACAATTTATGAACAATTCTTTTATTATTTTTTATTTTAAAGAATTTATTGTATTATCGCTTTTCATTTATGTTTTTATTGCATTGTCGTATTATTGTATTGTCATTTTTTATGTTTTATCATTTATCATTTTCGTTTTTATTATCGTTTTCATCTAATTATTTATCAACACAATGATGATTTAAAAAAATATCACCGTCCATAGTTTCAGAGATGCATCTTCGAAAGAATCAAGTCACGGTGTTTCAAAGATGCATCTCTGGAAATATCACTTCATGTTTAAATATAAGGTCCAAGTCTAAACAGATGGCTTTCGGAGATGCGTCTTCGAAATACCTTAATTTGGGGTGCGTTCAGAGATGCATCTCTGAAGGATATTTTCAGGTTTTCAAAGGTTTTTCCCCACCCATAAGAGGTGTACAAAGAAATTTCCTTAATTTCAATACAAAATGGGCTAGATTTTTACCCCTACAAGTGCACCTCTCATATCTTACATTTGATTATAAAAAACCCTTAAATTAAATTAAGTTAAACAATCTCCATTTTTTTATTTGCATTTTCGCAAAACTTTGAGTTTTTTTTTGTTTGCCTTTCTCCCAACCATCTACGCATATTGACAAAAATTAATTTTTTTAGGCATAATTACACCAAAGTTCATTTAGGTTATTTTATTATAATATGATGGTCTTTTAAGAATATTTTACTACAAGTCAGTACTTTAAGTTATCTAATGTATACATTGTTACTCTCTTTTAAAAATTTCATTCTAAAAATGAATATGTGACATTAATGTGAGTGAGGTATCAGTAATGGTTCTAACATGGAATTTTTTACGTCAAAACAAGTATAAAATGACATACTTACACCAGAGTCCTTTAGGTTTTTTTACGGTACTGAACCAAACTGAATGTAATAGATACAAGTGGCGATAAATTACATGGGAAGGATGACACAGATGCGCCAACTCATAAGGGGAGATTGTTACGATCCAAGAAGTAAGGAAAAGTGTAAGAGTGTGTATGCCTAACAGAAAATATGAGTAGTAGGTAGAGAATCCTTTTATAAAGGGTAGAATAATAGAATAGATTAAAGGATAAATAGTATGACTTAGTCACTGTGGGTCATTAAATCACTACTTTTACCCTTACATTCTCGTAAGTTGGTATTCTTTTGATATCCATTTGTACAAAACCACATAAAAATACCCAACCCAATAGACTAAACCAAAAAATTAATCACTCTTATACAAAACCAATGATCAAATCAACCTTTCCTCACCTACATCTAAAACACCATCGACCTAGAAAAACCCAACAATTAAATATGGTAAGACAAAGGGCTATGTTACTTTTGTGATGATAAATTATCCTTCTCTCACAAATCTAATAAGCACTTCCTTCTCCCTGTAGCAGGAGTGGATATGATATTGGGGTCGCCATATGGTTGGCAATATTGGGACTGCATGTGGCAGATTAAGGTGCTTTGACTTTAAAACTTTTTCATCAAGGGAAATTTGTGACATTATAGTGAAGAAGATCAAATAGAGAAGATGGTAAAAGATATGTTGCACCGGGAGATAATTCAACCTAGCACTAGTCCTTTCTCATCACCAATCATTTTAGTGAAGAAGAAAGATGGGAATTGGAGGTTTTGTACATATTATAGCGTATTGAATGCTATCATAGTTATGGATAGTTTTTCCATGCGTATCTAAATGCTCATTTGGCATGTTGGAGGTGGGTTATTTAGGACATCGAGTCTCGGGTTCAGAGGTGGCAATGGATGGAAGTACAGTTCCTGCAATAATGGAATGGCCATAGTCGAAAAATGTCAAACAATTGTGCGGTTTCTTGGGGTTAAGTAGTTATTATTGACATTTTATAAAATCTTATGCATTGGGTGCTTGTTCACTAACAGATTTTCTCAAGAAAGTAGCATTTAATTGGAACACAGTAATAAGTCAAGCTTTTATAAAGCTCAAACAGGCCTTGACTTTTTCACCTATACTTTCTCTTCAAAAAATTTCTCAACCATTTATGGTGGAAAGTGATGCTTCAGGGACCGGGGTAGGAGCAATGCTTAATCAAAACAGACACCCTATTGCATATTTTTCAAAAAAGAAAACTAGCACCGCGCATGAAAAAATAGTCAACATAAACAAGGGAGTTTGGCTATTACTTTGGTGTTATAAAAGTTCCAACACTATTTGTTGGGCCATAAGTTTATCCTCCGAACTGATCAAAAGAGTTTGAAGATCCTCTTAGATTAAAGATTGCAAACACCAGAACAACAGGCGTGACTACACAAGTTTATTGGGTACACTTTTAC